TGTGTGGTGTGCATGTGTGGTGTGTGTGTGGTGTGTGTGTATGGTGTGTTTGTGTGATGTGTGTGATGTGTGGTGTTTGTGTATGTGGTGTGTATGTGTGTGTGGTGTGTATATTGTGTGTATATTGTGCGTGGTATGTGTGGGTGTTGTTTGTGTGTGTGATGTGCATGTGTGGAGTCTGTGTGGGTAGTGTGTGTGGTGTGTGGCATGTATGTTTTATCTGTGTGTGTGCTGTGTGTGTTGGCGTAGGGGAGGAGTGTGTGTGTGTGTGTGTGTGTGTACAGGTACTGGGGTAAGGGCAAAGCATGAGGACCAGAACCTCTTCCTACCAGGCTGATGGTAGACTGAATCTTCTACCCATGTGTAGCTAAAACCTCAACGAAAACAAAAGGGCCCCTTTACTGGGTGCCTTCCAGCAGCAGCAGAAGTTTCTAAAGCCAACCAGAGGCTGTTTATGGTGCCCAAAAATGGGGCATGTTACCCTGCAGGCCCCTGACCCACAGCTCCCATCACCATGGGCCAGGGTTCCTATAAATGAAATTCTTCAAGGGCCCAAATCCAGTCAGCCTTTCCATTCCACTCCACCCCCTCCACCCACACAGCTGAGGTCACCCGGCCCAGCCTCTTTTGCAACTTTCCCAAGTCTGTGCACGAGAGGGAGAGGAGGAAAACTCAGAGGGAAGTGGCGTGGCTTCAACAGACTTTTTTTTTGGCCCGTCTTTGTCCCAAAGCCTTTTGCTTGGCCCTGCTGAGACCATCGCTCTAAGAAGAGACCACGAGACTGAGAGAGGACTCCCAGCCGCCCTCAGAGCGGAGGCCGAGTGCTGCGCAGCCACAGCTGTAAGTGCCCCGGGAGTTTGTCTCAGTGCTTCTGTCTGCCCCCGCAGCCCTGGGAGTTATTTGGGTGTTTGGGTGGAGGAGTGGAGGCAGGGAATGCAAGGATGAGATTTCCAATCTGGCAGCTTCAGAGTTTAGATCCAGCCCAAAGATCCCACCCTGGAGAAGCTCCCAGGGTGTGGCAGCAAGAAAGGACTTCCCTGCCTGTGCGAAGAGCTGGGGCCCAGCTCACGACCCACAGAGGCCATCAGTCCCAGGACGCAGCTGCTGGCCCCGTCAGAAGAGGGCGGCGCTGCTGCCTCAAACCTGCAGGACCTGCCAGAAACTAGAGCCCTGGATGAGGGCAAAACCCTGCTGGCACCCAGAGTCCCCTTGTGACATTGACAGAGTGCCTTCTGGGATGCAACTGTGTTGGCCAGGGTCTCATCAGGGGAAGCTTGGCCCCTGGAGTAGGAAATTGTCACTCCTGTTCTAAATCATAAATATTTCTCCTTGCCCAGTGCTGCAATGCCAGGGGAGCCAATGTATAGGGTCAGACGGATCTGGGTTCTATACCCAGTTTACCACCAACTAGTTGTTCTTGACCCAGGAGTCCACTGGGCTTCAGTGGCATTTTGTAAACTGCAAGTGCTCTATAATTGCTAGGTATTATGTATTAATACAAATAATTTCTTTGGGCTTACAGATCAATCTCCCACCAAAAAGTTCCCATGGAGATAGTAACTTGTCTATATCTTTAAACCTACACAGTGCTGGGGCTTAGTAAGCACACCCTGCCTGTGCCGGACAGATGAACAGATGGATGGATGAGTGGATAGACGGTTGTTCATGGAAACCTCTAGAATCCCAGCATTGGTCAGGCTCTTTAGTGGGATACAGAGAAGTGTGAGGCACAGCCCTGCCCTCCAGGAATGGACAGTCTACTCGAGGAGACAAAACCCACAAATAACCTAAAGGAAAAGAGCACTGAGCCTCCTGAAACCAGGGCTGTAGGTGCACCTCCCAGAGGGAGCAGGTCTAGACCTGCTAGGGTTGAGGTGGGTGAGGCGGAATTGTGAGCATTACTGGGAGGTAACAAAGCCTTGTGCTCTCTACATAGCCTCTTTTCACAGACAAACTTTGCTTCCAAGACTGTAGGTCCCATTATTTTTTAGGGTGGATATATTTGTCCTTTTCCAAGGTATGGGATCGGGAGGGAAGGTCCTGAAGTGGACGAGAGCCTAGTAAGATAGTATGATGGGGGCGGGAGACTCTGTCTGCTTCAGAATCCTCACCTGCCCCTGCTCACTAGTCTCCTGTCAGCAGAAGTGATACCCTACACAACACAGATGGGACAGAAGATTGTGCCTGGTTTCAGGTTGGAGTCAGCGGGGTAAGGAGAGAAAGGAAGTGAGAAGTGAGAGCGAAGGGGGTTCCAATGTTTTCGGAGGGCTGGTCCCAGGCCCAGGGGCTTGGCAACAACTCAGTCCTTCTTACTCCACAGGGGCTGAGCTACCCTGTAGCTTTGGCAAATGGGCAGGACCAGGACTCCAGGCTTAGAAGTGCTGCTAGGCAAGAAGGGGAAAGAGTTAGGGACCTCCAGTGGGGAGTGAGTCACTGCAAGTTCTGCTCTGTGTGGACCAGGGCTGGCAGAAGGCAGAGTCTTGCATTTCAATCCTGCTTTTCACTTTACTTAACTGTAGAGGATGACTCAGCCTGGCCTCTAGGAGGATTCCCTGGTTTGAAGCATCTGAGTCAGCTGAGTGGGTGGGATGAGGCTTAAAAAGACAGCTACTGCCAAAGCCCAGCAGAGATGACATGGAAAGGGACTCCAACCACTGTATGAGATCTGAATGTGCCTCCTAGGTGAGCCAGCCTGTGTCACCCCACACGCCACTCCCACTTCCCACAGACCTGGTCCCAGTCAACTCTCTCGTTGCTCCTAGTGACACTGGGCCCAAGGACTAGGCTCTTATAAAATAGCAGCCTCAGCAAACTCCTACCCTTCTGGGATAGGGTAGGGGAACCTGCAGCGGCAGCACACCCGGAGTGAGCATCCAGGGGAAAGAAGCAGGGAGGAGGTGAGATGCAGGAGTCCAAAGTTAAGGCCGAGGTAACTTACAAGGATCTTGAGCACTTTTTGTGTGGCCCTCAGGAGAAATACTCCCAGGAGCGGGAGGCAGCTCCATGGGGCCGGTCTGGCTCTACCTTTTGTGGATGTGGAAGAGATGACTCAAGCACAGGGTGGTGCTTGGCATCAATGACCTTTGAGGTCCTTGTAGGAGTGTACTGGAGCAGGCTCCATGCTGGTGACTTGAAGTTAGCCATGGTGTAAGTGTTTACACCATAGGAAGTGGCAAGCATGACCAACCAGGACCGTGGCCTCTAGACTCACCCCCTCTCCCAGTTGGTAAACAATTATCTGGATCCTTCCCAACTTGGGGACCCTGCTGTGCTATAAGATCATGACACATGTCACCTGCAGAGGAAGCCACAGCCACGAGTGATGTCCATTTTACCCATGAGGGAACAAATGCCCCAAGGTTCAGTAACCCACCCAAGGTCACAGATGTGTGGAGCCGGGATGAGAATTCTGAGTCCTGAACTCACGATCACTCCATGGCACCAGATGGCCTCACTCTCTTGCCCACAGAAGGAATTTGTCCTATCTGAAATCATGCTCAAATTACTTTGGCCTGCCATCCACACGTCTTTTTAAAGAAATGTTAAGTGATTATTTGATATTCTTAAATTACAAAAACAACTTAGGCTTGTGTAACAAATTTTAAAGCAAAACATATATAACATAAAACGATAGCTCTCAGCCTCTAATCTACCTTTCCCATCTCTCTTATGAATCATTTAATGTATATCTCCCCTTAGCTTTCTGTATCACACCATATAAAACATTCAGTGATTTTCTTTTTTCTTACTTAAAGGCCTCATGTATAGCTTCCCACTTCATTATTTCGTGTTTTTAAAACTGCCCTTGGCCCGGCGTGGTGGCTTACACCTGTAATGCCAGCATTTTGAGAGGCCGAGGTGGGAGGATCACTTGAAGCCAGGAGTTTGATACCAACTGGGGCTACAAAGCATGATTCCATCTCTACAAAAAATGAAAAATAAAAAATCAGCCAGTCATGGTGGCATACACCTGTAGTCCCAGCTACTTGGGAGGCTGAGGCAGGAGGATCACTTTAGCCCACGAATTTGAGGTGGCAGGGAGCTATGATTATGCCACTGCACTCCAGCCTGGGCAAAAGAATGAGGCCCTGTCTCTAAATAGATAGATAAATAAATAAATAATAAAACTGCCAATTGTTCCAGAGTATTAATGGATCAGACTTTATGTAGAGAGTCTCATACTGATGGACAGTTAGATTACAACAATGCTTTAGCAATCACCTTTGTACACATATGTGTTTGAGCTTATGTGTGAGTATTACTTTAGGACAGATTCCTAGAATGAGAACCTAGGCTGTGTGCATATTAAGTTTTGATATTGTCCAATTACCTTCCAAAAAGACCATGCTAATTCATACTCTACCAACAATATACAAGAGTGTTTCCCCAACACACTTGCCAACCCCAAACATTGTCATCAATCTTTTTAAATCTTTGCCACTCTACTGGGTGAAAATAAATGGTATTTTGAAATGTCAATTTCCTTGATAGTAAGGTTGAGTGTGTTTTCAAAGCTTACTAATTCTTTATAAGATTTCAATTGGTAACTTGTTCATGTTCTTTGCCCATTTTTGATAGGTGTGTTGCCTTTTATTATCTATGAGTGCTTTACACATTGTGCATAGCGACCTACTGTTATGTGTCTCACACATACCGTCTACCTTCCTCGTCCTGCCCCAGCTTTCCCTTCGTAAGCACGTCGCTGGCCTCCCTGCATCAAACCCTCACCCATCCAGCCCCTAAGCTCTCTAACAGGGGCACTATGGAGCAGGGCATGTAAGTCTCATTCTAGTTTTACAGACAGTAGAACCCAGTAGTTAAGAGAGCCGGCTCTCGGGTTAGGCCTGGACTCCAATCCCAGCTTCAAACCCTGCTCTGACACGTGCAGGCTTTCTATCTTTAGGGCTGAACTGCTTAACCGCTCTAAGCGTCCGTTTCTTCAATGGTAAAACAGAGATAATAATAGTATCAGTCTCACAGGCTATCTTTGTGTGCGATAAAATAGCTAACGTTTCTTGAGTCCTTAATTTGTGCCAGTAAATGTATAACAATATTCTATGAATATTGTATTCTATGTGTTCAGTGTATTATAATAATGTATAATTTGTTTAACCCTCACAATGCTATTGTGTATTTGTGTATTCACAAAGCCCTCAGCACAGTGCCCACCAAACAAATGTTAGCTTGTAACATGAGATGTACTCCAGCACTGCTGCATGGTCCTGTGACAGCGTGTGAAAGCATTGCCCTCTGCCTAGCATGCTGTGTCTCTGACCCTGTGGTCAGTCCTTACATATAGCTCCTGTTGGGCAACTCCAGTTCTCTCTACCCACACTGTACCTCTCTGCCACTTTGGCAGCCTTTCTCTGTCTTCTCCAACTCTCCTAGGATTTTGTTGAAATTCACCAAATCTGAGCCCAATCCCCTAGATTCCTGTGCACACAGATTCTATGGGTTCAAACTCTGATGATTAGGAGGCATGACACAGGAAAGTCTTCTCAGCGTTTTTTGTTTGTTTGTTTGAAACGGAGTCTCACTCTGTCACCCAAGCTGGAGTGCAGTAGCGTGATCTCGGCTCACTGCAACCTCTGCCTCC